TATGTATGTACAACTATATAGTCTGTTATCAGACTAGCTTTTTGAGTCTCTCACTACGAGGCATATTTTCTGGATCCTTCAATCATTCTCATGGCTCTTCTCTGAACTCTCTTTAGTTCTTTATTCTTTTTCTTGCAGAGTGGATACCACAACTGGACATACTGTTCCAGTAATGGCCACAACAGTGCCAAATACAGCAATAATAAAACCTCTTTATTCCTACTTAAAATTCTCCTGTTTATACATTGAAAGATCACAATTAGCCTGTTTGGTCTGCGGAGTGTGGAAACTCATGTTCAACTGATTATCTGCTCTGACCCCAAAGTTACTGCTCTCTAAGATGGAGTTCCCTATAATGTAATTATGGTATATCCTTTATTTTTATTTTTGTGTTCAGATGTATGGCATTATTGAAGCACATTTTGTTTGCCTGTGCCTCAGAGATTCTTAACCAGGATGCTGCAAGATCATTTTAAAGATGTTGCAGGATGATGCCCAATATATACACAAACATAATTTACTACATATGATTCACAAGATTAAACCTGTAGATTTGAAGTAGGAATCCAGTGTCAAAAGCATTCTGGCCTGCTTTGGTCTTTCTGAGTTCTTTGCAACAGAAGAATTGCCCTATTATTTTTATGTAGTCAAAAAACAAGTGAAAGCCAACAGCTGGCATTTTCCAAGGGATGTCTTGAGTCTAAAAAGGTTGAGATCCACTGGGCCAGCTTAACTAACAATCTATATCACTATGTATCAGTAAAAAAATCTTCATTATTTATCATTTCTCCAGTAAATGTGCCATCAAACTTTCAGTGATTATGTTTCTCTTCCTGATCTCTTATAAACTCTGTCTGCAGACTGTAGAAGGACTGCATTTAGACTTCCAAATATAAAGTAAATAATCTTTACAACTACTAACTTACATTTTATTAAAAATAAAAACTTAAATTCTGTAGAAATTAATTGCATGCCCTTCCAGTTTAGAACAGAAAGCTTCTGATTTACTTGTGCTAGGTAGGCAAGCAAGTTTTTCAAACCTTGGTTATTTAGTCCTTGATGCTGTACAGAATATTTGGCAAAGTGACATATTACTACTTTCATTCACCCAAAGTATTTAATAGCCTTTAATGAGTATGTACACATTTTTCTTCTTCCTTGTATCAGTATTTGAAATTCCCTGAGCTAGTAGACATAATTTGACTGTGTTTATTTGTTGTCCTCTAAACTGCCAGGATTTCCTGGGTTCACCCTTAGTCCTACAGAGGTAAAAGACTCCAGAGGTCAGTCCTGAAGGGCACCATCACAAGTCAAAGAAACAGATGGACAGTCTTTAGTTTGTCAGATATGGTTGGCTATGTAAGTTGTAAAAAATATGTTCATAAAGTGTTGCTAAAAATTGTCATATTATTTGACTTTTTCATGGTAGTTCTTGTATTTCCTCTTACTTTACCGTGTGTGGGCAGTGTTGACTTTTAGCATTTCTGACCCAGACAAGAAATGAGTTCATCATTAAGCGGGCAGAAACAGGTCATTTCTCTGGTGAAAGAATGGCATCGAAGTAAAGAATGGGATTGACCATTCCTGATGTAACGAGTCAGATCATCTCTTTGTATTTCAGTTTAGGCCAATGCTAACACCTAGGTTGATGATTAGATATTTGTGAATGAATGAATCTCAGTCACATAAGATAACAGGTAAATTAATATTTTTTTCTTAAGCCTAAATAGAAGCCACAAATAAAACTAGACAACAAATAATATAAAATTTTAAATAAAACATGAAAAAATCTTGTTTGTTTGCTTTTTTGACTTTGTTTTATTTTACTCCAGAACAGAGGCAGCTGCTGCATGAGAAATATGCAGCAGTAGTTGCCTTTGTTCTTATTGTCATTCATGAATCAAATCAGGTCTCATTTAAGTCTGACTCTGGCATGGATGTCAGCAAACCTTAGTTCATCTCCTCTTCTTTAATTTTTCTGGCTACCTGTTTTAAATTCTACTGACGAACTGTCTCAGGATTGTAGTAGAAAAAAATTGTAGAGAAAAAAATATTTGTCTAGTTTAGAGGATTTACTTCCAAATTCTTCTCTTTATCTCCTCCCTTTCTTCTCTTCCCCTTCACACCACCAAGAAAAAAAATCCTGAGATCAGACAGATGTTAGTTTTTAGTTGAATTTTTGTGTGTCTTTTCTAAAGAGAAGTTGTCTGATACTCAGTTAATTTCTGTTTGCAGATGATAAATAAGCTTGAAATTATGCAACTATATATGCGTTACGAAATTCTGGTTAACAAAGTAAAAATTGACAGACAATTGTGAGCAGAGTTTGCAATTAAGTATTACTGTAGGACAGCAATTGTGGATTTGGCTGCCTAAAGTTAGGCACCTAAATCTTAACACCTTGAAAACTTAGATTCTTATAGGTGTCAACATGGATTTACATGTCAGTCCAAAGCAGTCAAGTTAGAGGAAAAGTTTGTATTACTGTTCTGCATATGTTATCTCTTAAAACTACAGCTCTTACATAATTTTGTGTGGCATCTATAGAATATACTTACTTAACAGTGAGGACAAACATTTCTTGTTGCACCTACGTTGAAGTTCTCTGGAGGTTCTAAGCCACCTAACTGTCCTGGTCCTTTTATGTCTTCTGCTGGGATAATTAGGGGCTAAATCAAAAATATACCCGGGCATATCAATTTTGATCTATTCACCCTTTTATACAGACAACTTCAGAAATATAACTAATTGGCCCCAAAAGGCTGGAGTATGGTTATGAGAAAAACACTACATTCAAAGAACTCTAATTACAATGTAATTCCTTTCAAATCCTTTATCTCCATTTTGAGTGTCCTTAATTAATGTAATATAATGTATTGCTATTGGAGAAATTTATAATGTCAAAAGCCCTTTTCTTGGGGCTTTTAAGGATATCCAAACTTGTTTTAAAATCTGAAAAATTACACAAAATTCCTTCACTAGTTAGCAAGATTGGTTGAAAATGTAGTATTTCTTAAAATGAAACAAAAGCTGAGAATAGCACTCTACATTTAAAATGTACATGTAAGTATTATTACTTCCTTTATCTATTTTTATTGATTAATGGGGGGAGAAAAGCACATAGGGTTAAAGATAAGATGGTACCACTGTTTTCTTCTTTATGTGTAATCTTGTTGCATGTCTCTACATAAGCTGTTCTGGCCACTCATCATAGTAACCAGCTGGGCCATTTCACCTGCTGGAGCCATTAAAGAGGACTCTCTCCCCCTAGATTAATCCCCTCCGACATTAGTTTTTTTGCTCTGACAACTGGAGCAGGCATTCAGAATTTGCAGGTGGCCAGTGTGACGCACATAATTGCCTACAATTTTAGGCAATGAATAAAAATGGTCTACATTACTTGTCAAAGGTTGTATATGCAGTGCCAAGTGAGATCTATGGGAAGCCTTTTAGGGTTTAAAGAACAGTTAATAGCAAGGCTGCACAGTGCTTTTTTAATCATAATGCATTTGTAATATAGCACTTTGATCTTCTCCTTGTAGGAAATGGTGTTATATTAGCCACTTTTTAACATTTATGAGTGAAATTCAGTTATAGAAGAGTAAAAGTGATTATTCTTAATCAGAACATGTTAGATTTCATTAAAAGTTTTCAGTGTGCCCCTTCCTTGTTAAAATCTGTGGGGAGTCCTATTCCTGGAGGGTTTCAAATCAGGATCTGAGGATTTAGAAGAGCTTTTTCCTTGTTTTTTCCCTAAAGCATCTGCAAGACTGGGAAGAGAAGGTATACTAAATAGTGAGGCTGTTTATATCTGTTTTATCAGTATGTTTACCCTACATATCAGTAAGAATAAATAGTTATGCATCACAAAACATTGAAGGAGTTAAATATTTGTATGCTAAATATTTTAATTCTAAATTGTGTCAGTGATAACTTTGGAGAAATATATTATTTAAAGCATGACCATAAATTATCTACCACAAAAATAGATGACTCTGAAATGCACTACTCCTATAAGAGCCAAGTTTGACCTTTCAGACCCAAGAGCCTTTTATTAACACCTGCCTGTAAGGAGAACCTTGCCACACGCAGCTTTCAGATTCAGAACCACAAAACTGATGAGGAAAGGCTTGAAGGGTTCAGTTTGTGTCACTTGCTGTTTGCCGTTTCCATTTCACAGATGATTAATCTTTCTGTGAAGAAAGGCCAGAGAAACAAAGCACATTGGGCTCTTCCTGCAGTTACTCCTTCTGAATGCACACTAGCTTGCTAACTAAAAGGCCTTTAGATTTCCTGCAGAGAGAGATGTTCTGAAAGTGAATGCAGCTGGTTGGAGGTCACCAGTGCAAGGCTCTTGCCATTGTGTAATGGAGGCTTTGGCAGGTTTCATTTTTGGGGGGAGGGAGAAGGTGTTGGCAAAAAATTAATGCAGAATAAAAAGGGCTTTGGCCAGTTGAATTAATTTCTTGAAGGGTGGATCATCAATAATAGGCTCAGTTTCTTTTGCTAACAATTTAAAAAATATATTCACTCTGTATTTTCCCACCCATTCCCGTTTCTTAATAGCATGTTTATAGTGTATGTGGTCTTACCCGCTGGATACTGAAATGTTGCGTCTTACTGAGTTGGAAAAGCAGTCTAAAATGTGCTGGATTTTTACATATGTTTTATGAGCTCTACTAATTTTTTGATGAAGAAGGAACCTACTGAAAATACTATAATTAACAAGTTAAATGCATAGGATTTTTTTTTGGTATTAACACTCAGTGTGCCTTTTAGTGCATATAAAATGATAACATTGTTTTTTTAACTTCTCAGATAAAATGTAAATATATTTGCTTGGCTGTGTTTAAAAGTTATTACCTAATTTTTAATTTGATTGTACATTCTGTGTTTTGGTATCAAAATATCTTGTTTATGGAAAATAATTGTCTGGTATCCAGCTGAGTTTCTTCTTCTTCATCTGCTTTAATGATTTTGTTTTTCTTAATCCTGTATAGGACATAATGTGCAAAATCAAAACCTGGGTAATAGATGAAAAGAAGCCTGTCCGCTTCTATCATGATTGGAATGACAAAGAGGTAGGTAGGCTATAAATACTACCCCATTCTTTGACTCTTAACATTGCTACCTGCTTCTGTCTGTCTTTGCTAAAAATGCATAAAAAGAATCCATGATGCTTATAGTGTATTGTTTATTAGCAGGTTTTATGTTTATTGAAGTATAATGTTGATATTTAAATAATCATTTGCATTCTTAAATACAGAGAATAAAAAGAAACTGAGTTATAAACTATTGTTTAGCTCAAGTTACTATAACTTCGGTTTTTAAAATTCTACCTTTATATTCTTGCTTTTAGATCGATGTGTTGAACAAGCACTTGTTTTTGACCTCAAAACCAATGATCTACTTGGTTAACCTCTCTGAAAAATGCTACATTAGAAAGAAAAATAAATGGTGAGTTTACTCTGGTTAAATGTATAAATTCACCTTTTGTGTTTCACATTTCTGAAAGGTGCATAATTCCTTGATATTATAATACTAAAGGTTTTTCTTGTTGTTTTGATTGATATAAATTAATATTACTTTTATATTTGTAATTTTTCCATTAGAATCCTGTTTATGTACAATGGAGTTAGTCTCTAATGAATTTACAGAAAAAAAGCAAATCCTAATTTTCTCCTGGAATTTTAGAGAGACTTGATACTTGTTAGGAAAATAAATATTTAAAAATGGTTATGAACCATTACTTTTATTTAAAACTTTTTTTTCCAAATGTCACTTAAATAGTGATGCTTAAAAACTTTTTCATTTGTTTATATGCTGAAAGAGTAATTTGCATTGGGGCACAAATACTTTGAAATGTGACTTTAAATTTATGTTGAACATTTCAACAATATGCTTCCCATTTGCATGTGAGTGCCAGCATTGCTTGCCACTGTCCGTATTTGTGTACGCATGCACATCCATGCATGCATATACGCACAAAAAAAGACATTTTACAATTTGATTTTAGTGTGTAGGCCTACTTTGACCACCCTTACTCTTACAAGTTGTCACTTTTCATACAGGTAGTATTTTTTTTCTTGCATGTGCAGTTTTTACTTAAGTATTCTTATTAATGTCAATATTATGATTCAGATGCATGGTGATTGTGAAAACTGCCTATCAGACATTCAGTGAACTGGATGAAGATCCAATTGGTGGCGACATGTTGGGGATCCATTTTGGGAAAACACACCACATAATCTTGTTATAAGAAACTACAGATGAGATAGTTTGGGGAGGAGGGACAGACTTAAATAGAATGCTGTAAAGATTAATTTTAATATCTTTGTGTTTAAAATTGACAACAAATTTCATACTTGTATGTATGTGTGTATCACTTTATTTGTGAGATTTTGAACTTCTGGCATACATATGTGTACTTGTGAACAGATATGCATTTAGTCATCCAAACCAATCAGAAGTATCCAATGCAGAATATCTGAATTCGCCTAAAATATGCCCTCTGTTTCTCCCTGTACTTCATTAAGTACTTAGATGCACATGGTTTCAATTTTCCATTAAAAATTCTCATTTCCATATGATATCAAAGAGTGAGAAGGCTTTAAACTGAAAAATAAACATTCATAGACTGGAAGCCAAAACAATAATTAATGTCAGATGGTTAACTCCAATAAATCATTAGAATAAATTCTGTGAAATTACTGCAACTAAAACTGTCCTGTTGCTACTCCAAGACATTTTGTATTTGTGTTTTTAAAAAAAAGAAAAACCAAAACCAAAAAGTTAGATTTAACCTTTAAATGGCAGTAATTTGGAAAATACATTTTTTTACATGGAAAATTTATAGGAACCAAGACACCTTTTTTCTTTTTCTTTTTCCTATTGTAAGTCAGATTCTGTTGTTTTGAGGAAGTTCTTTCTTGGCAGAACATTTTGTAAATACACAAGTCATTAAATTCTTAAAGTCAAAAAGGAATTCTTTAAAAAAAAATGTATCACCTGACTTTAATGCAGTAAACACTACCATCCTGATTTAAGTGCACATGTCAAAGTTTCCTGAGTGTTGTTATAACTCTACAGGCACCAGAGTTATGTGAAAATGGATGAGTCAGTTTCCTTGTCCAAAAGGGATCCTCACACCTGTATTTGGATGATTACAGGTAGAGCTTACTAGCTCTAATTGTACAGTAAATACCATTTCCCAGACCTTAATAGTAGACAGACTGCTTAGGAGACGCCAGTCTGTGATTTAGCTGTCGCCAGTCACCCCCTGTTTTTGTGAGACCAGTTGTGGTGATGATATGGTTATAGCCAATAGAAAGCAAACCTTTGTGTAATTTACAATTTTTAATTTGTAAAAATCTAGATGTTTAAATTGGGAAGTCATATAATAAAATGATTTAACTATTTATATGCACAACTAATGATTTAGATTTTTTAAAAAATCCAGATCTCATGGATGTTAGTGTAATTGTAGCTGAAAGATCAAAGCCTGGGTAGCTGAGTGATGTTCCAGAAGAGAATTTACCACATAGCCATTTTCAGTACAGTTTCTGCCTCCTGCTGTTCCTATTTTCCCTCAAGCTAGCCATTGACTACCCCCTGTGCATCCCTGCTCGTAAAAAATGATTGAGGAAGTATTTGTCATGTATTTATGAGTGGGAAACATTGTGTGATAGGGAATGGCATCTACTGGAGCCAGAAAGATTGCCGTTTTCCTTCATTCAGCCACTCTGCTACAGCTTTAAATCCTCTGTTTATGCAACATAGCTTTTGTATTAAAGTGCAGAATAAATTTTTACTATGGAGGATGCTAACAGTAGGCTTTCATCATTTGTGGCAGTACAAACAGATACAAATGATTAGAATATATTTTACTGCTAGATGCCTTTTAATTTGTGATTATTTTAGGTTCATGTTCTTAATCAGAGCTGCATTTTGGTTAGTTGTTCAATGAGCAAAAGTTTCTTATTGAGTTTAATTCGTGATATTGTTTTAACAGTTGAGGTTAATGCAGGAAATACTCAGCAGTAAATGTTTTCATTGGTCTTTTACAACTAGAAAAGTATTTAAAGCATCAGCAAAGAGGAGGAGAGGTTTTTGATTGTGGGTGCAAGAGGAAAACTAAAATTGTCTTTGTTTTACTGGGTCACCCTTTCAGAATTAATGAACATTTTAATTGCTAGTTAAAACATACTTACATTTAAGTGGTAACATGTTATTTTTCAATCCTAAAAAAGAAGAAAACACTGTGAAAGATAGGACTATTGTGTGCTTGAGTAGGTGTATTGACCTTTTGAAAGATGTAAAAACTGGAATGGCTCCAAGCAGCTACTTGCTGGTTTTAACAATGTTGAATTAGTCATTCAGCTGATTTATGATTAGGACCTAGCTCCTGAAGAGAAGCTGACATGGCAGCTGTGTTAGTTGCACTTGTGTTATGATCAGATGACAGTAATCATGATATTGTATAGGGGAATCCACTGAAACCATTCTTCTATTACATATTCTATTCTGTAAATGAATTGTCAAAGCATTCTATAGCTTTTTTATGACACTTAATTTTTAGGGACCTGCAAGATTAACATATTCTAAACATGAACTAGTTTTACTCATAACAACATATACAGAATACAGCATATTAAGTT